GAGGGGCGTAACATTTCCGTCTCACGCTTGAGGTATTCGTCCAATCACTAGGCACTGTATAGTTGGCCCCAATCAGCGTACACCTTGCTTTTCAGACCGATGAGCTTTGTAAAAAAGCTCAGAAAGGCTGGGCATAGAGGAGAAACAATGTACAGTATGTGGAAAATAATGTGTTTTTTTAACCTTAAACCGCATAAACACATTTCATTACACCAAATACACAAAATAATGTTCTTTTTAGCAGCATCATATGACCCCTTTAAAGAAAACTTAAAAACACATGCTCATTAAGGACAAGTCTTACCTGTGCGATGAACACCACGTGCTTGCCGCTGAATTTCTTCTCCAGCTCACGCACAAGCCTCACCTGGATCTTCTGGAAGGACTTCAGCTGGGGCACAGGCACAAAGATGATGATGGCTTTCCTGCTACCACCAACCTCAATTTCCTGAGAGATAGAAAGAGAATCAATAGCATGAAATTACAAGCGCATAAATATAGGAATGACTTAACCTAGCACTCAGCAAGGGCCAGTACAGTTAAGGACATGTGCACTGCATGGTTTACCTCCCCAGTAACGGCCCAAAGGACTCTGGGAAGATGTAGGAATATACAGGACACTGTCCACACCAGCCAGAGGCCGGGGACCAGCTTGCTATCCAACGTCGTGGAATGGGACTGTACGTCATGGCACCGAAGTGCTGCGCTCCCTTACGCCACACGGACAGAGCCACATGAGAGCCATCTCACAGGATGTCCACGTTGGTTGTGTCAATCAGTACAAACAGCTACTTATTCTGATGCTGTTATAATTGAATTAATGATGTGACTGCACTCATCCAAAATAAATGAACCAGAGGGGATTTTACCTTAGCAGCAGTAATGTGAAGCTCCCTCAACTGAGCCTTCAAATCGGAGTTCATCTCCAGCTCAAGAAGGGCCTGCATCAAACAGACAACAGCTTATCAATAGAGGCTACAGATGCAGGATCACATTTCATAAAGGTATGATGGTATACTATACCTGGGAAATGCCAGACTCAAACTCGTCTGGCTTTTCTCCATTCGGCTTCACTATTTTCGCGCTGGTACTGAACATGGCCTGTGTCTGAAAGGCACAAACAGGCTTATTAGAATAAAAGACTATACAATAGAAAGGGCCCACTCAAAAGTGAGAACTGTAAATTACTAAACTCCCATGTTGTTCCAAACTTAAACATACATCCTCGTTATACACAAACGAATGATGGAAAATAACAACCTTTCAGTTTCAATTTATGGAGGAAAAAAGATGCAATGAGAGCGAATGTAACGTCGTCAAGTCGTAACATCATCTTTTGTGGTCTGCAGAAGCAAGTCACTAAGGTTTAGAACATGAGGGTGAGTAAATGAAGACAATATTTAATTGTGAACTATGTTTCAAAAATGGCATACATTCTGCAACGTCTGCTCAGGTGAGCAAGGTGACATTAAACATTAGAACCTATATTACCAGTATCAGAGATATTTAATTATATAACTCGGGAATTAAAGTCTCGATATCTTTTTTCATTATCCTAACTTCAGCTGGTCTCGGGAATTCACCAGTTATCGTTAAGCAGTCTATTGCGGCTAACTCTAAGCATGTTCTTAGCATGCCGTTAGCATTGACTAGCTAGTACAAAACGACATTTACATTAGATTTAATTCTACCGCAAATATAGGTCGTCGAGATATATTTTACTTAATATAAGCATTTTACACTATCTTAGAGCAGCACATGGGTCCTAGTAATACTGTAGTACTGACACGTCTACTAGCACACCTTAAATATACAAATTCCTTTTTCTAAAATACCCATCCATTGTGTAATGCACTCGCATCTAACGCATCTCTGTCTAAACAACACGTGCAACTCGTACGTAGAGCCAAATATGACTTATTTTAGCCATTTTAACTTAATTTCTCTTTAGCATGGCAAATTCAGTAGTCTCACCTCTTTCAACGACGGCCTGGGAAAAGGCCGTATTCTCGCGAGAGGCCGGTAAAAGTGCGTTGGTGTGTTGCATGATGGGAAATGTAATCTCCATTCCGGGCGCAGCGGGCGCCCTACGCCCGCTCTTACTTATATGTTGTGTAAAGGAATACAAGCATACATTGTATTTTTTATTAATTCACATATACATTATAAAAATAGGGCAGTCATTAAAATAAGTTCGTTTGGCCTTTTCTGAAAATACTGACTTGCTATCTATGAAGAAGTTTAAAAAATCATATTAAGATGTTTTACCAGTCGAACAGTTGTGGTGTGATGGAACAATTTATCTTTACAAAAAAATGCCACGACTACCTCCATTATTATTTTTGGGAATCATTGAAAAACTTACACTACAAAGATTCGATGTTCAAAAGAGTCATTCGTTCGCAAACCGGGCTGTATTTGTTTGTTTATTTGTTGTTTGACTTACTAAAAATACCCGGTTCATACGAGTAATTTCTTCGGTGTTCGGACTAACGTTACGTTGGTCGCGCAGTACGTTCGTGGTTAACTAAAAAGAATCGATTCATGAATCGGACTGCACTGTTCGCCCTGTATGTTTTCGACTCAGTATTAAATATGATCGAGGCACTGTGACTCAATGCTTGCATTTTTTTTATTATTATTATTATTATTATTATTATTATTTTATACTCTCAGGGTTGCCTCCGCCTCCTTCTACACGCCACTTCAGTTCTTCTTCTTAAGCGTTTTTGGCGGTTGGCAAACCAGCTTTACCGCCACCTCTCCACTTCAGTTGGTGGCGGTAACGCTCTATAAACTGGACTAAAAAAGCCGATAAGAAGAACGCGTTTGGTCAGCTGACCGGTAACGTAGGTACACATGCTGCTGAGGTTATGCAAAACGACAGACAAAATCACTAAATCATAAATATTTTGTGAAAGATTTCGTCTTTGTCAGGTTATTGTTTATGGTCATTGTCTTTTAAAATGCCACCACTAGCGGATATTGCCGTGTTTACTCTGCTCTAAGCAGAGACTATGTTGAGACTGCCTGGGTTTTTCAATGTTGTACGCAGGGCTCTCTGTGACGCCGCAGAAGAGATGGGCAAGAAAGGAATGTTTTTCTACGCTGTGAGGAAAGGATTTAGACCAGGAGTATATCAAACATGGTGAGCAACTATATGATACCGATTTTTTTGTAGTGGTGAGCGCATTTTGCTGCGCATTGCATTGCTTAACTACATTTTATTTCTCCACTAAAGGGAGGATTGTAAACATCAGGTGGATAAGTTTCCCTCAGCGATTTTTAAGAAATTCGCTTCTGAACAGGATGCTTGGGCTTTTGTGAGGAGCCAGTCAGCAGCACCATCTTTTGGGAGACCAAAAGGTAATGGATAGGGATGGGCGTATCGATCCAAAGTGTCGATATATCGATACTGACGCGAGTATCGAAAGTGTATATATATATATATATATATAAGTATATATCGAAAAAATATCGATACTAAGGTGTGTTTTATTTACCAGTGATTTTAAGTTTATTTTTTTTTGTTATTTGATGCAAAGGTGATATAATACAAAGAATAATTTTATAAATGTAGATACATTTTTTTAAAAATACAAATATGAAAAACTTTCGAGGATTTTTTTTTTTTAGTGCCAAGGTACCAAAGATAAAAGTACAGAGAATATCAACATTATGTACAAAGAGGTGACATTACATGCAAAGCACCATTTATAGACGTATGTAAACATAATTTGCATGAATATTCAACATCAAACTGTCTATATGCCCAGTTTTGATCGTGGTATCCCAAACATATTGTTTTCATAATGCGAGGCCCAACGTGATGTAAACAAACAACACTTCATGCAATATCATTCATGTCGCAATTTTGGATATACTGTTGAAAGGATTTTGATGAGTGAATTTACTGCGGTGAATATGAAATTTTGCAAGAAGTAATAATAGGTTAATAATAAAATATTCATTAATTTTATCTTTTTTTATATTAAAGAAGCCAAAAAATACATCCTTAAAAAGCAGAGAGAAACCCTGGAGTACAATGCGATTGATAACATTAGAGAATTCAATCCAAAATAGCTGTGTGTGAGGACAATCCCAAAAGATATGCATATCAGTTTCATTAGGGTCACCACAAAAAGAACAGCTTGTATCTATGTCTGATTTAAACCTTTTCAAAAACACTTTAGCTGGGTAAAATCTGTGTAACAATTTGAATGAGATTTCTCTAACCTTGTTAGTTATTATGTATTTCGAAGACAGAGTCCATACTTTTTTCCAATCAATATGATCAACCGAATTCTTCCAATAAGACCCCACATATGGAGTTGTTCCAAGCTCCTTTTGAAAGTGAGATCTAATTTTATAGTTACGTGATAAAGGATGTGACAAAAAAGCATAGTTTTCCTACCGGGATTTCAAATGGGTCTAAAGAAATAGATAAAGTGCTGGATGATCTAACAGAGTCCCTTAAAAGCATAACAGTTCCTTTAGGAATAGCATCCATGACAATGGAGAATTCTTTGGGAGTTACTGGAAAATTAAATTTACATAAGAATTCTTCGTAACTTAAAATAAGACCTTCTGAGTTAAATAACTGGGAAACAATCAAAATGTTTTTCTCAAACCAACTACTAAAAAACAAAGATTTTCTCTTATATACAATGTCTTGATTGTTCCAAATGAAGTACTGGTGAGGGGAGAAATTGTGCTTAAAGATTAATGACCATGCAAGTAATGCCCGTTTATGAAATTTAGATAAATTGTAAGGGATTCTAGCAATATTATAATTACAGATCAATAGGAAAGGGAGACCACCTAATTTGGAAAAGAAGTAATTGGGGATAAAATTCCAGATTGAGTTTGGATTACACAAAAACTGTCTAATCCAATTAATTTTGAAAATGTTGTTCAAAGGAGAGAAATCAAGGAAATTCAACCCACCATACTCGTATGTGTTCGAGGATTTACGATGTTGATGACCATTAAATGCGTCATCACAGTCTTGTGAAAAGGGTCCATATAAAACGTGTAAGTTTTAAGATGGCAGATGCTCCATACACACCCCTTATAAATATCCGCCATTACGCATCGTCAAGTTTTCAGGTGTATAAGGGAAAGTGTACAAGAGAGGGAGGGTTAAGATGTGTCATCCTCTAAATTAGCACATTAGGGCTTTATTTTTGTCATGTGACCATAAATTGAGCGAGACATGCAAGCAGCTGTATAGGATGTGCTCTGTGACTGAGAGATTTTAATACTAAAATAGTTTTTTGCATGTCAGTGTTCCTCATTTCAAGTAAATATTGTATTTTATGTTCCAGCTACATTTTTTTTTTTCCATACCTAAAAATGTGTAACAAACATGTTGGTTTACACTGGCAATTCACCATGCAAATTATTTGACTAAGGGTCAGTTATGTTTTATTACATGGAGCATTGTTTGCATTGTCACTAAATGCAGGAAATACTATTACAAAATGTTGAATTTTGTTGAGTTATTCTAAATATTAAACTGTTGCTGTTTTATGGAAAGATTGGGAATTATTTTTTCATGCATGTTCATTTCTCATGTATGTTCTTTTTTTGAGTAAATGTTTTTACCCTTAATGTGCAGCACGCTTTGTCACTGAATCATATTTATATGACTTGTGTTACAGAATTTTTTATTTATTTGCCTAAAACACAACTAATGTAAAAAGTTGTTTACAAAATGTAAAAAGTTACCCCAATTGTTCCTACCTTATCTTCTATAACTGGTTTTTTTTTACTAGATTATTGTGTGTCTATGTATTTATAATACAGGCTGCTAAAACATACTGTAATGCAAGTGATTAACCTTGACATTTGTTTCCATTTAAGGATGTGACTATGAGGTCCTGCCTTCTAGAAATGTGCCTGATTCCTCGATGGCTGTTCCCCTTGGAAGTAAAAGGACCTATGAGGACTCTGATGATGAGGGACTGTCCTATCCAAAACGAGTGAAACTCATTGAGGTCCCACAGCCAAAGACAGCTGCAGCCAGTAGTGATGGATTTACATATATGGGTAACTGTTGTGTACTATAGTCTTACAGTAGGTATATATATATAAAGTATTTTTACTATAGGTTTTACTGACTGTCTATGAAGTACCACAGTAAAATGTTTTACTCTGTGCATTTTTTTTACAGGTGATGCTATAGTAGTATACACTGATGGCTGTTGCACAGCCAATGGGAAAAAAGGAGCACGCGCAGGAATTGGTGTATATTGGGGTCGTGATCATCCACTGTAAGTCATCTGTGATTAATAGCATTCTGAAAAAAACTGGTACTTCAGAAAACAATACTTTTCATGTTTTTTTTCCCCCTGCCAACATTTTCACTGTTTTAGTGTCAAAAATGTATACATTTTAATTGTTTTAATTACTTTTAATTGTTTCCTCAGTAATGTTGCTGAGAGGCTTCCAGGAAGACAGACCAACCAAAGAGCAGAATTGCAGGTAAGAACGAGGTTGTTCTTTCAGTGTTCTTTCTTATACACTTTTTTATCAATAACTGTATCGTTAAACTTGTCATCACAGGCTGCTTGCAAGGCACTCGAGCAAGCCAGAGAAAATAATTTTAAAAAAGTTGTGATCTACACGGACAGCAAGTTCACCATTAATGGTATGCGCTTTCTGATTTTATGTTCAAATACTTGTGAAAATGTCTGGTCATAAAACAGTGTAGTACTTATTTATTATTGTTAATTATAGATATTTAAAAAATAACTTACAAAAAATAATTTTACGTTTATTTAAATATTGGTTGCTTTCTAAAGGCATTACAAGTTGGGTAAAGACTTGGAAGTCTAATGGCTGGAGGCTTAAAGGTGGCGGGGCCATAGTCAACAAGGAAGACTTTCAAAAGCTGGATAAACTAAATGCAGAACTTGAGGTCGAATGGGTATGTTTCACAGTGATGAACGATATGGCATCTGCTATTCAATTTGTTTGTTTCAAGCATGATGTCCCAACCTTTGTGTATAAACATTCTTTTGGGATGTAAATGTGCAGCTGTAGACGTTTTCACTCTATCATTTTTGATAAACACAAACGAAGAGATGTCTTGCATATCTGCGTAATTTTCACTGATGCTGGTGATTAAGGATGGAAATTATGATCAGAGCAGCTGATCTATTAAGAATGCTGTGATTTATATCCATTATATTGTGTGGAAGTTCACTATCCTTCTGAATGTAGGATATTGAATACATACCTCTTGGTCAAAATTAGGTATTGTTGTAAGCTTTGTTATATCTAGAATATTGGCTGGATAACTTTAGTAACTAGCGCTCTACATTTAAATATGACACACAGTGTCAGAAAAATAAATACATAAATTCAGTTACTAAATCAGTATCCATATGTTAAAACTAATATTCGTATATTGAAGACTATGCCAGAACTTTAATTGAGAAATTGAAAGATACCTTCAGGCTACAATACATGGTGTTTATTTTAATTTTATTTTATATTTACATTAATATTTAGCTTTGTGAAGAATTTGTGTTTGTAGCATTTTTTTTTTGCTGTGGTGCAAAAAAAATTAAGACCACGTCTTGATGTCAGAACCCTTCTGCTCACTTTCAGATGCTCTCATGCATGCTTGGCATTATGCAATGAGTGATGAAACAAATGCATGGCCAGTGAAATGACTGCAAATGAAAAAATGTACCATCTCTTATTCTTCATTTCTAGATGCACATTCCAGGTCATGCTGGGTATACAGGCAATGAGGAAGCAGACAGACTGTCCCGGGAGGGAGCGGCAAAGCCCCCATGTTAGCCCACTTTTATCACGTTCATTTTATAATAATACATTATTGTAGGTGCCTAGGACGAGGTTGTAGTTTGTTTATCCTCAATGGCTAATGCACTTTCTTATTTTGGTTTTGTTGTGCTAGTGTTGTAATGTTGCAAACAGCACTCAAAACAAGTTTTCTTCTTTTCTGAAGAGCGATGCTTATCCAAAATTTTTGTTTTTGATTGTTCTGTCAATAAAAATTGTCATATATATTGTTCCTGGGATGGATTCCTGGTACTTATTTTTCCATCTCAGAAATATAAGCACTTGGAAAATTTTTGGGTGCATTACAAGTGACAAAAATAATTGTAGTGTACCGGCTAATATTCTACCACCATAATGTATTATTGATTCTTTATCTCTGAATGTGTTGTCTTGCTCTTATTTTCAGAAAGATGCTTTCAGTTAAGAAATGGTCATGGCTCTGAAATGCACTTATACTGAAATGCTTCGATATGAACAGCAGGTGTCACTGCAGTTCATGCTGAAAAATAGAATATAGTTTTTATCTTTACAAAAATCTAAGTTTGCTCTTAGTTATTACTGAGCCTTTCCCATCTTCACCTGGGTTATTGTAACTAAATGATGGGGATATTTTAATTTTATGTTTTTACTATTTTTTTTCTTTTTTTTTTTTCTTCATAGCAGAGTAGAACTTCATCCAATTTCCATCCAATTTGCTCAATCTGTGACTTATTTCTTCTGTTGAACACAAAAAGATCATTGTTTTTTTTAAGTCTATATAATGAAAGTCAGGTGTTTTTGGAGGGTTAGTAAATGATGACGATTTTAATTGTTCTGTGAATTATATTTTTACTATTAAAGAGTGAGAGCCTTTGAGAGCCATGACGGTCTTGTCCGATTCTCTGCTTTAAGCCTGCGTCTAGACAGAAGTCTTGAATGTTGTCTTAAATACAGATAAGCTGCACAGCAGGCTGAGGAGGAGTGAAGGCATCTTCTCTTTCATGAAATAAACAGAGGTGAGAATCTCAACACCAGGGCCTCAGTGCAGTCCGTCCTGACCTTTGCTTGCAGAGCTCAGCTCCTCTGAATTCCCGCTGAGATCCAAGACCTTCAGAGCGGGATGTGCGGTCAACAGTTATAGGTCAGGAGACTCCGATTGTCCTTGCCTGGTGAAAACAAAGCGGATTTAGTGCTTGTAACCTTTCACAGCTTCAGGTTTCTTGAGTCTACGTTGTATGGCAGATTGTTAGATGTATACTAAAAGTCTCCTTGCAAGTCTTATTGTGGGATCTGAAGATGAAAACTATTCTCAAGCCTAATGGGGAATGTAGATTAGCTCATTTTGTAATAATTATCGAAGTTAGTTGTTCCAACTGGTAACGTTTAGAACTCATCTGAAGGCTGTTTGATTATCAAACACGGTGATAATTTGTTGGAGATTAAGGGAAGGAGGAGGCACACCAAAAACACCCCATCATTACAGCACATCTGGTCTCTGCTCTCTTCAAAAACCATGTCACAGCTGACTCGGGCCCTCAAATCTGGAAGAAAGTGTAGGGGAATTTCCACTAATGAATCCAACAATCACACGATGAGGCCTCTTTGTGCAGGGACTTCAATGGAAGCCACATTCGGAGCAGGCACAGCGAGTCACAATCAAAGGCACCGGCAAGCCGTTACCACGGGAGTAAATCTGCAGCTTGTAACCGAACAGACATCTGTTTCCATGACAGCTGTCTGGAACGGCATCAGCCTAACTGCTGCCTCAGAACTAGTCTGACTGTTTGATATCTCTTGCGATAAAGACAGAGAAGATTCTGTCAGAAACCCTCGTCGCTTGTTGTGATGCGCTAATGCGAAGAGAGAAATTTGTATTTATGTTGTTGGTCTTTGAAGCTGCCGGAATCAGAGGCTGCAAAATAGTGGAAGGGAGAAGAAACGTACCCGAGAGAAGTAAACATATGGAGCGACCTACCCCGGTGTGCTCGACGGAAGCCGCTTCAGAGCGAAGTAGCTTCCGCGAAGGGTACAGTAAAGACAAACTAATAAGTACAAGTTAAACAACAACATTTCTGACATAATGTTGATTACAGCAAAATTCATTTCCACCCTTCCCTCCTTTACTTAAACAAGCAAACATCTGTTTTTACAGTGAGGCACAGTGAAGCGAATGGGGCATGTAAACATTACAATACTCGTTGTTTCAAAAGTATAGCCACCAAACGTGAACTATATGCATGGTAACACGATTTTAGTGTGGAAAATAATTTAAACAGCTTTACGGGTCAAATAATGCGTACGTTTTAACTGAAAAATTTCTGTCTAAAAGTAAGCATGGCATTTTCTGTTTTCTGTCCGCATTATTTTTCATTACAATGTCATAAGTGAATAATCTTCAAGTGAAATGGCAGATTTCTCTCTTGTGACACAAGACTTTGCCAACTATTTTGCCTAATAGGTAAAATTAAGTCCCGCCCCATTTTTGTTATTTTTTCAATAATCCGTTTCACATAGATGTACATCACAATATTGATTAAATGATCTGTCGCTACTTCTGTTACCAAATAATTAAACATTGGTCCCATTTACTTCCATTTCAACTGCCACATAGCCTCCATTTTTGTTTTGAAAATGAGGGACTTGTCTGAATCATTTCTTTTATCAGTTTAACAAATGCTATACCGATAGAACTTAACTTGCACTAAACCAAAATGTTCCTTTTTAATAGGCCAGTATCTCTAGTTCTACATGCTTTAGACACCTAGTGGTCTGCTGTTTGCAAGGGCAAGGCCTGCCTGCAGACAGGGGCTTGACAAGGTGAGCTCCAGCACTGCAGCACTCTGCAGCTTTCATTCCGATTTTCTCTCACTCCACCCTCCCTGTCGCTCAGACAGTACACCTGCTTAGGAGCTCTCCAAAGCGCTAACTACACTGAGATATCACCATAGCTAAGCAGTGCATCGTCTTTTATGTGCATCGAAACCCAAAGTCCTTGACCCAAATAGTGCAGATGGCCATGCTCTGAACTGCCACTTAAATTCAGTGAGCTCAGGAGAGTCTGCTGTGTCACATGGCCTTCAGGCTGCCTCAGACTGTGTGTGTATATGAGACTGACTCATCAAGCTACCAGAGAACTCAATTTAATCCCACAGCAGGAGATTCATTCTATTAAAGCTGAAGTTACCCATCACATGCTTGCTGATGAGGTGGCCGTGGCACCTCCTCACATGTAACCAAAGTGAGCCAGTCGTGCTGGATTTTTAATGATACATTTGTCAAGCAGCTACCGAGCAATATTTTCAGCATTTGTAAGGAGAAAAACAAAAGGAACATCTGTATCTCCGTCACCCTTACTTGCACAAAGAGTTGTTAGATCATTAAGAAAATCTTTCTTTCTTTCTTTCTTTCCATATTTCTTTTTTTCTTTCTTTCTGTATTTCTGTATTTTTCTTTTGTCTTTATTTTTCTTTTTTCTTTCTGTATTTTCTGTTCTTTCTTTCTTTCTTTCTTTCTGTATTTACTATTTTCTTTCTTTCTTTCTGTATCTCTTTCTTTCCTTCTGTAGTTCTTTCTTTCTGTAGTTCTCTTTTTTCTGTAGTTCTTTCTGTAATTCATTCTTTTCCTGTAGTTCTTTTATTCTCCAAAAAGTGTTTGACACTTACACTTACACTTTATTCTTAATCTTACTTAGTTACAATTTCTATTACCCAACTGGCAATTTTAGTGGATATATGAAATCACTTCTGCAGGTTTCCTAGCAGGTTTAGTTCTCAAAATTGGCAGCTTACAATTGGTAAGTGTCCACAATTTTCCATTTTGAATGCTGTACCTATTTTAAATATAACTTCTTTGCTTGTGCTCGTTTTCTTTAAAATGGAGGCAACTCAGTTTGATATTTTCTTATATAATGCAATAATAGTCAAACATGTTTTTTTTTTTGTTAAGTCTCCACCTCTTTGGGACCACTGTATCTACTTTATATATGGTATGTTTTGTAGTCATGTATGAAGGAAGTAATTTGTAAATGAATATCTATTTGTAAATGTTTAGTAAAAATCTTTTTTGGTCAAATTTTCAGAAGAATCAACCTCACTTGCTGGTACAGTTACTATGACCATCTGAGTCCTCACCTTGATGAGGCTGCCAGTCAGATTTGGCATGCTCTCAACTGCCCTTGACCATGAGACGAGAAACCACAGAGAGAAAGAGATAGAGAGACAGTTAGTGAGAGAAAGGTAGAGGGGGTGACAAGGTGAAGAGCAAATGATGCCATTAAAGGCAGCAGCTGCTTGCTGAAGCAGGGGCTGGACTGGTCAACCCTGCCACCCATAATGATAACAAGGTCAGCGGGGTCACACCGCTCAGCATCACACCACACTGCTCCCCCATCCATCAACTTTCCCACCTCTAATTATGCAGCAGCCTTCTAACCAAGCATGAGATAATATTACAGAGACGAGACCCCGCACTCCCTAGATGCATAATGAAGAGCAAGTCGTCTGTGAAGGGAGGCGGATTGCGCCGACAGCCAAACGCAGGATCACTGAGATGGTGCGGCATTATAACATCCCTTTTTCACGCTAAAAAATGCATCACCAAGGGCTCGTGAAGACATTGCATTCTCATCGAGCTGTTCAGTTTGTAGCTCTACAATCCAAAAGAGAATAAGTCATGGGAATTTACCTTAGGAATTTTGTATGGGTTTTTAGAAAAGGGACCTAAGGAATATAATGGTTCTCTGATTCAGAAAGCACATAAAACTCACGTTCTTGTGGTAGTGGTAGTCCTTAGCAACTTGCTTTTAAAAGCACACAATAGTTTCAAAACTCGTGTTTGAGGAACAAAATGTTAAAACCGTTAATTACATTCTTGAAGGGATAGTTCACCCAAAATAAAACATTCAGTCACCATTTACTCACCCTCATTGTCGTTCCAAACCTGTATGACTTTCTTTCGTGTGTGGAATATTTTAAAAATGTTTCAATGTTTTTTGTACATACAGTGTGGATTTGGACCCCACTGACTTTCACTGTACTGGCAAAAACAAACAGGCATTCTTCAAATGATCTTCTCCTAAAAACCCATGTGAAATTCCCAACCAAGGAGAATTAGCCTTCCTGGTTGACTTACAAATTGACATAATGACTGAATATGTATGTTTATTTGTTCCATTTCTGTCTGAACTGAAGCTTTGTGATTTGCTGAAGTTCATATTTATAAAACAAACAGCATTTACTGAGGCAGAACAGCATATTTTTAACCCACTTGTAGGAGTGGGACATGTGAATTTGCATGAGGAACACAGGGTTGTATTAAACACTGAATCACGCTCATGTTTCTCCCCTGGCACCTGAGGGGCTTTAGAAAATAAAATCATAATTGCCACAATCAGCTCGTGAACCTGGGTTACCTCCATGCCCACAGCTCTGCCTGTGCACTGGTAGAGTCCCATGTTTAATCTTAATGAGCGTGAGATGCAGGCAGACACACTGTGGGGCGCAGGGCCCTGCTGAGCACCAGGGTATTAGCAGAAAAGAGAGGGAGAGAACAAACAGTTAGATAGAGCAGAGGAAGTGTGCAAAAAGATGAGAGCGTAAGATTTAAAATGTTAGAGGGCTCAGAATATGTAGTTGGAGGATGTGAAAACAGGAAAGAG